CACCCAATCTATAATGCCCCTTGGGGTGCCTCTCCCACAAATGATGAATGTCATGGATATAAAGAAGCATCTGGAATTCACTCAGGATGAGGCGAGCTTGTCCAGTGGCACATAGCTTACAGAGAGAGTACAGTGGGCTTCTTTCAGCTTCTGGCTTGGGCTGAACTTGTATCCTCTGTGTCTCTATCTATCATTTTATAAAGGATGGATAAATGATATATTTTATTAGTTTCCCTGTGTCTCAAAGGGTTGAAAACAATTTATCATTTGGCTCACTCTATTAGGCCAAATTCACTCTTTTTTCTTCTCTCCAAACCTGGGATTGGACCTAGGTCCAGGTGTACGCTAGGCAAGAGCCGTATCATTGAGGTACATCTGCTTTTCAGACTGAATTGATGTGAATGCCCGATAGTCAAATGGTTGTAGCCACTTTTTAGCTTTCAACTTCTATCACAGAAGAAAGATGCAGGGGTATAGAGGGTGACTCCCCTCCCCTCCGCTCCTCTCCCCTCTCCTTCCCTCCTCTCGCTCTTGTAATTAAGTGACTTACTGAGGAGTTTAATTGGTTTATAGTACCAGAGGGAGAGTTCCAAAAATGGTGGGGGAGTTATGACAGCAGGCAGCCAGAGTAGGAAGCTGAAGGATCACATCTTCACCCACAAGCAGAAAGCAGAGAGAGAAAATAGAAGTTGGGTAAACCTTTAAGCTCTCAAAACCGGTCCCAGTGGTGTACTTCCTATATAACCTCAAACAGCGCCACCCACTGGGGAGCACGTGTTCAAAGTGAGCCAATGGGAGACATTCCACATTCAAACCACCGACTTTATTGGTGGGAAGCAATCTTCTCTGTGGCTGAGATTGACTTTACAAAGTTCCCCTCATGTCTGAACCACACACTCCTCTGTAGTAGGCTTTTGATGGAGTGCCACGTTTGGGATATTTGATTGTGGTAAGGAAAAGGGACAAGGTAGAATTTCCTTTTGATTAGAGGTACAAGGGTACTGGGGGTGGGGAAGGTATAGAGGAAGATGGATGAGCTTAATTTTCCAGAAAGGGCTAGTCTGGATGTCCAGACTCTTGTGCTGGCCCAGACTGTAGTTCCTTCTAAAGCAGTCACTCACAGGCCACTCTTGGGGACTGGAGCCATTAACAATCAGGACGGACCCACACAGGTGCCATTTGGCTCATTTTGGAATCACACATGTGAAGACAGAAACTGGCTCCCTATCGAGTAAAGAGCAGCTGAACGCTGGTGCCTTTGTAGCCTGCCAGGGCTACCCTTTGACAGATGCCCACCATTCTCAAGAGAAAAGCCCGTAGACCAGCAAGATGGCTGAGTGGGTAAAAGCTTAATTGTCAGAACTCGCATGATGGCGTAATTCCTGTTGACTCCCTCAAGTTGTCCTCTGACCCCTGTATGCGTGGAACATGCGCTCACGTACAAACAAATTTAATTTTTCTGCAAGTTAAAAATCTTTTCTCTAAAGATGTACTTTGTTTTTTTTAAAAAACAAATTCTCTGTATGTGTTTGTTCCTGTATGTGGATACAGGTGCTCACAGCGCCCTGGAGAGGATGCTGGATGCCTTGGCGTTGGAGGGATAGGTGGTTGTAAGCTACTGGGCGTGGGTGCTGTGAACCAAAGTCTGACCCTCTGCAAGAGCAGGACAAGCTGATGGCTGCTAAGCCATGTCTCCAGCCTCCTGAGAAACTCTTTCGAAATAACAGAAAAGGGCAATGGGAAGGAAGGTGGGGAAGTCATCTCCTGTCTCCTCTTTCCTAGACATCAACTGCCAGTTCCCACCGCATAGCCTCCATTCTTGCAAACTCTTTGAGGCTGGGGAGATAGTTCAGTGTCTCAGGTAAGTGTGAAGATCTGAGTTCATCCCAGAAGTGGGGGATGAAGACAGGCGGATCCCTGGGACTCACTGGGCAGCCAGGCTAGCTGAGTCATAGGCTCCAGGCTGAGACACCCGCCCCTCTCTTTAAAAAAAAAGGTGGATGGTTCAGGGTTGACCTCTGGCCTTCGCATGCATGCACACATGTGCGCCCATACGAACACAACCTCCTCCAATACATACAATCTTTCCAGTTTCTCTATTGCCCTCTTTCACTCTGACCTCTGGGCTTTCTTCATACCCATCCCTCTAGAGCCGCTGTTACTGTATGACCCTAAAAACAGCTCCACTGAGAGATACTTGGCGACTATTAACTCACTTGTCTGAAATGTATAATCCAATGGCTTAGGGCCTATTGCATTATTAAGTTTTTAAAGCTATGATGTACTTATATAATAAATTTTTTTCATTTTAACTGCTTTCAGTTGTACAACTCAGTGCCTGTAATTATGCTGTTACCACAAATTCCAGAACTTTAAAAAAAATCACCCCAAACAAGTTCAAGTACTCATTAAGCAATAACTCCTGACCCACCTCCCTCCAGCTCCCGCTTCAGTCTACATCCTGCCCTGTGACCCGGCTGACTAAACGCCTCCGGGAAGCCGACTCATGCCCCATCTGTCTGGTTAGTTTCTTCTAGCACATGTCTTCAGGGTCCACCCATGTTGCAGCACGTACCAGAGCATCTCTCCTGTTTATTACCAAATAATTTTCTGCATCTTGTCGATGGGCACATGGATTGCTTCCACCTTCCGGCTGCTTCAGATAATAAATACTGGCATGCAGATATCTATTTCAGTCGCTAATTTTGATTCTCCGGGGTGCATATTCCACGAATCCCCTTTAATTTAGGACATGCTATCACTATGTACTTAAGCTGACTCAAACTTGCAATCCTCCTGCCTCAGGCTCCCAAGTGCTGGGATTGCAGGCATGCACCATTACATCCAGCTGGACCAATTGTTGATGCCTCCAGTCTATTTGTACCTAGTTGCTACAGGATTCTTTTCCACCCTGCAGTGTTGGGGGGATCCAACCCAGGGACTTGAACAGTCTAAGCAAAATGCCACTGAGCGAACCCCTCGGCCTTATCCATAGGAATATTTCTACCAACATATGCCAGCTCACACCACCTCTCTGTTCACAACCCTTTGCCAGTTTGACATGAAGTGGCCCCTTAAGGTCTGAGATGATGACTCTGTCCATAAAGTGTCTGAGTTTGAACCCCAGAACCCACATGATACATGGCAAGGTAGGTAGCTTGCAGTCCTAGCAGGGTGACAAAGAGAAGTAAATCCTGGCGCTGGCCAGGGAGCGAGCCTCGCCTTTTGGGGGACTTCCAGGCCAATGAGAGAAGAAAACAAGTGGTGGGACCTGAGGAACGGCCCCCAAGGTTGTCCTCTGGCATCCTCGTGAATTCACACAGGTGTACCCCACATACATACCTATTAAACACGTGCTAAGCCAGACCTTTAGAACCTGAACTGGGGCTTGCCAGAGTCTCCAAGGTACCATACCCCCTTCTTCTCTGCCCTAGATGGCCTAGACTTTCCGTCCTTCTCCAGAGCCGTGCTCCATTCAGCTTTTATCCTTCGGGTTCCCTCTTTTCCTTTTTTATTTGATATTTTTGTTATTATTTATTTATGAGTGCATGTGTATATATGTGTATGAGTGAGACAGACAGAGAGATGTTGGAGTCCCTGGAGCTGGAATTACAGGCAGTTGTGAGCTGCCAGATGCAGGTGCTGAAACTTGAACCCAGGTCCTCTGCAAGAACACTATGTGTTCTTAACAACGGAGCCATCTCTGTGGCTCAGGTTCCTCTTTCTAAAATGTTCTCCCACCTCCAAATCCCTAGGGCTTGCTAGCTCCTAGGTAGTAGGCAGCTCTTTCTATCATTTTCATCTATCAAGTCATAAAAAATTTCCCTGATGTCCACACTCCCTGCACCCCGGTCCTCCTAGCGCTCTCTTGGGCTCTTTCAGCCCCTTGTCTTTTGTGACTGTTCACTTGGCATGAAAGGTCCAATGTCTTGTCTTCCCTGCTGCAGTGATGACCCTATGCACTGGACACCTGTTGCATGTTTCAAACTGTTTCACACACATCTCCTGTATTTATCACCAGCTGACAATATGGAAGCGTGGGAACATGGTTCCTTCCTGTGCCAGCATCTTCATGCCCTACCAAAGAACCTGACACACACTGGTGGCCAATCTACACCTAGATGAGGGGGAGGGACCCAGAGTTTGAGCACTCTTTAACCAGTGGTCCCTGTGAGCTGTGCAACCTTACCTACTCTTCCAGCCTCAGTCAGCTTCCCCAACATAAGATGTTCATGTTTGTGGGAGCCCACGGAAGCAAATCCATTCCACCTTGACCAAAGGTCAGAGAGTTCAGATCTATTCTCGCTCCTTCAAAAGGTGTGTGTGTGTGTGTGTGTGTGTGTGTGTGTGTGTGTGTGTGTGACATGTGTGAGCTTGCCTGTGGAGGCCAGACTAGGACTTGGTGTTACCTGCTAGCACTGGGGTCTGGGATCTGAACTTCGGTCCTCTGGAAGAGCAGCAGGCTCTTAACCTCTGAGCCATCTCTCCAGCTCAATGCTGTGCTTTTGTTTTAGCGGTCAGCCTTGCAGACTGCCTTCCTCTATAACAAACACCGATATTTAGCATTTTCTTTCCATTCTCAGGATCTCAATTTGGCTCATTTAGCACCTGAAGGGTGTGCGGATGTCATCCTCCTTGGACCCTAGTGGTCCACCTCTGAGACCGTGCCACAGGGAGGCAGAGTGTCCTCGTTCTCTGCCGGCCTGGCCTTACTCTCTGAGCTCTGCTCCTGGAGTCGGGCGGAGCTTTAAGCCTGGCCCCGCCCTTGGGCCTCGTTATCTACGTTTCCGCGTTTCAGGCGCAAGGCGAACTTGGCAAGCCCTCCCGGCGGTGGTTGGGGAACACTTTGTGCCCAGCGTCCGCCCGCTGGGCCCTCCTCCTTCCCTCCGGCGCCGCAGGGCCTGGGAGCCTGCGCTGTCCCTGGGTTTGGGGTCTTTGGAACCCGAGTACCTTGCACCTGGACAGCAGCTCTGAGCTCGCACGCTTTGTTCCGTGTCGTCACCGATCTCTTGATCTACGAGTGTCCAAATGTGAACATCGCGCTTAGTCAAGAGGGTCATATAGATGCGTGGCCCATTTTAAAACAAAGCTCAATTATAAGCGCGCCGCGGCTATTTATTCCAGCCTAGTCTCAGATCCCCGAGGGCTGCTGTCAACTAGCACCCGCAGGAAGCTCCATTCCGGGTACGGAACCGAGTGACCGGTTTGAGACCTTCAGCTTGTTCAGGTCCAAACTGCAAGAGCCGAGGCAGATCGCGGGGTGACGAGTGGAGGAACGAGTCTCCCATTTGGTGTAATGGGACGTACTGCGTGCTTGGTGGCTGTACTTCAAGCGCTGAAGGTGGCGGGGATAGTAATGTCTCTATCTCAGGGACCCCCATCTTCCCACGGTCCCCGATCCCGCCTGACCAGGGCTGCACGCGATGCGCTGGCTCTAAAGTGCGTCACAGACCGCACCGGCCGTGCTGCTCCACCGGCTTGGGTGAGGTTGGCGCCGGGCCAGCACGGGCTGGGCCAGCAGCGCCTGGGCCATCACCCCGCCTAGAGACCCGGGCGTGGAAAGCGCTCAAGTTGCGCAGCACCGGGATCGCAGCCGGGGACACTCTCCGCTAGGGGCTAGGCGCCCCATTGGTCTCGGCAACTCTCCGGGGCACTAGGTGACACCCCCTCGGTTCCTTAGGCGCACGGAGCTCAAGAGATTTCTTCAGGATAAACTACGCGGCGGCCTCCCTGGGCTCTTTGCCCCGCCCCGGGTCTCCGCCCCCTCCCTTTGGCTAGGGATCCTGGACCCGGCGGCGACCACTTAAGAAGCTCGAGCAGCCAGGACCGAGAGGCGGCTGGGGGCCGCGGAGCCGCTGGCCATCGACTCTCACCGCCATGTGACACGGTCCTCCGGCCTGCTATCCCAGTGCCAGCAGCGCCCGCTCCCTGCCGCGCTGCGCATCATGCGCCCGCCGCCCGAGCCCCAACCCGCGCAGAATCCCGGCCTCCGTAGGCAGGTAGAGCCTCCTGGGCAGCTCCTGCGTCTCTTCTACTGCACGGTCCTGGTGTGTTCCAAAGAGACCTCCGCACTCACCGATTTCTCTGGTAAGAGCTCTCTTGCTTGCCACGAGCCCGCGTTCCCCTCGCTGTTGCCCAGGTGAGAGGTAGGCTGGGAGTTGCCTCTGCTGGGGGCTCGACCTGGTTGGATTAAAGTTGAAGTGTACTCCCTAAGCAGTTTTCTTGCCTGGTGGGAGCACTTGGTGTGGTGTTTAGGTTGATTGGAGTAAGGGAACCATCTCTTCCTAACGATGGACCTGTAAGATCTTTAAAGTTTTTCGCGGTGCTCTTGACCTCTGTTAGTTTCCTGGACACCTGCGGTTCAGCCCTGACCTTCTTGTGTTCACTAGAGGGTCCCTAAATTGAGGCCGGTACCACGCCCGGCGCTGGAAGAGAACCGTATTCTGGACGAACAGTTGTGCTTGGCTGGCCACCCACATGATAAGGGTGCGTCCCAGCCAGACTCAGGGGTACCCATGTAAGGAGACTAGCTCAGAACACGCTGAACCCAAAGTCCAAGCAGGTCCCTAGGGAGGGAGCCTGGGAAGATTGGAGGTCTGGTGGAGATGCCTTGAGAGACTCATAGAAGCTGACAGCAGAGAATACTCAGAGGCATGAGTGTACAGCAAATGGTGCCAGCACTCCCCACGCGCCCACCACACACACACACACACACACACACACACACACGAGAGAGAGACAGAGAGACAGAGAGAGAGACAGAGAGACAGAGAGAGAGAGACTTCATCCTACCAAGGCAAAGATCAATGCTTTTCTTTAGCGAATTCACCTACCCCCAACCTCAGCAAAAGATTTTAGCGAGGTGTGAGGTGGCAGGTGGCAGGTGTGGCTGTGGCGTTTAGAAGGTGACAAATGTCTTTTTTTGTAACAGCCCGAGTGTCCATTTGCTCCGTAGATTTTTCCATCACGCCAGGGATGTAGCTCTGTGCCCTTTGCTTCCCTTTCTCTTGGGACTTTCTGCCCAGCTCAGGCTAGGGACTCTAACAAGCCCCTCCCTACAGGGTTTTGTTCTGTTCTGTTTTTCGGTATGATTGTGATAAAGAGTCACCCCTCCGTGCTGCTGCGTGACAGACTACCAAGCAAAGAATCTGGAAGAGCAGACTTGAGTTGGCTTTCTGGTTTGCTTACAGAGAATGTCATTCATTGTTAGCTGAGAGCCCATAGGTCAGAGGTTCTTTGCCTAGAATATTTAATGTCAAGGCAGTGTTCCTGCCTGGCCAAGGAAGCAAGATCCGCCTGTTTGGCGAGCAAACCGAGGCTCTTAAAAACAAGCCGAGGAGAATCAAAACTCTGGTAAATGGGCTGGGGAAAGTCATTGTTTTTTTTTTTTTTTAAGCACTATTGACTTTTTTCTTTAATTGAACTTTCTTGGCTTCCATAAAGATTCTGTGTTTGCTGATTTAAGCTGTGGCGAGCAGCTCTGAGCTTTTAGCCACTGTCTTGCCCCGGTTATTGTAAGGAAAGAATTAAAAGCTGAATAACTGCCTCCCCCCATCCTTGGTGACATCATTACAACTGAACAAATATTGCTTTAGGCAAATTGCGACGAAACTCCTCCTCCCCACCACCAGATTATAGACTTTTAGAATTTGTTTCTTGAGGGAAGCAGTTGCAATACTAACAGTGTGTACGTTATCACACAAGTCTGGAAATGAACTGTGCCCCACAAAAACATTCTGTGGATCTGGGCTATAGACAGGGAGGCAGCCACCCGAGAGAAGCAAGTGCTTGTTTGAAGGTTTTTAAGTAATGAGGTTGATGAATGACTTTTCCTGCTGTTTTCCATGAGATCCAGGGTTTCCAAGAGTCAACAGCAGGTGGTGGCATTGCCAGGTCCTCTCACCTTTCCTCCTTGCTGTCTAGAAACACATGATCCTGTCTTCCCAAACCATAGCACTCTCAGGTTTAAACACAAGTTCTGGATAATATGGGATAGGGAAACATCCAAAGGGTCTTAGAAAGAGAGAGAGAGAGCCAAAGCTGGGCCGTTTTGTTTTAAATCGAAGCAAATCCTCCAACCAGGCGATAGAGGGGGAATCCTAGCTCCCAATGGACAGTGTGGGGATCAGTCGGGAGTGCTGGCCTCACCAATTGATTTCCTATGGCCTCAAAGGGCCCTGCTTGCTCTTCTGGGGCGAGGCAGGCCTGTTCCCTTTTATGAGTTTGGCAAGTGTGTAGAAGGGGAACAGAAATAGTGGACTCTCCCCTGCGGAGCTCTCCCACAATAGCCCGGGGCGAGGGAGCACGTGTGACAATACAGCCACTTGTTTTCTATGGAATGGAACATCAAGAAGGTGTGGAGGAGAGAGGGGGGTCAGGACCCCCTGGCCTCATGGAGAAAACCAGAGAAAGTATCCATGTGAAAGTCCCACAAGACAGTGGGCCCCCGTTGGAGGGCCCCTGTCAGTCATACAGTGCGGAACATCCCTGCTGTTTGAGAACATTACTTAATGTCTACCGCCCTTTCGCAGCTTTCCCAGGCTGTCGCTTGAGGCTGTCAGCTGGTGTCATTTTTCCTGGGTCACTGATTTTTTTTCTAGCATTAGATCTCTTAATGATCCAAAAGCTGCACGGTGGCCTTTCCTCCTCTCTGTGCTTGGGACTTGGGCTAATCATCCCCAACCCTGCTGGGGCCCAGGCTCCCTGGTACCCTCTGAAGATTTTGGGCTTCCAGGCTGTGGTGGTCACTGAAAGACTACCATCGCTTTATTAAAAATGTATCCCAGGACAGACAAGCTGGCTCAGGGAGTAAAGGCACTTGCTACCAAGCCTGACGACCTGAATTTGATATCTGGACCCTCACTGTTGAAGGAGAAGACACACCTTTAATCCCACAGGCAAAGGTAGGCAGATCTCTGAATTTGAGGCCAGCCTGCTCTACAGAGTGAGTCTATAGAGAAATCCTGTCTTAAAAACAAGAAACAAAGGAAAATCACTGACTACTCTTCCAGAGGTCTCGGGCTTAGTTTCCAGCACCTATATGTCATTACTCTGTTTCCAGGGCACCCAGGGCACACTCTCCTAGTTTCCTCAAGAGTCAGACATGCACATGGTACATGTATGTACAAGCAGGGAAACACATATACACGTAAAATTTTTTAAAATATTTATTTGTTATGTATACAATATTCTGTCTGTGTGTATGTCTGAAGGCCAGAAGAGGGCCGAGACCTCATTACAGATGGCTGTGAGCCACCATGTGGTTGCTGGGAATTGAACTCAGGACCTTTGGAAGAGGAGGCAATGCTCTTAAACTCTGAGCCATCTCTCCAGCCCTACACGTAACATTTAAAAATCTTTTTAAAGCTTTTAAATTAAAAAAAATACTTCTTTAAAGAAACAGTTTGAAAGGCTAGGTATCTAAGATTAACATTTGATCTCTGTCCTTGGTTTATAGACAACTGACTTCTCATCCTTCTGTGTCTGTCTGTGTCCTCATCTCTTCTAAGGCCATCAATCAGACTGAGTCAGGGCTCACATGAATGGCTCTATCTTAATTTAATCACCCATTTAACAGTATGCCTTCAAGTATACTCCCATTCTAATGTGACTCTGGGTGACTCACAAATCTGTCTGTCACACAGGCCATCCGCAACCCAACACATAGACCTGACTGGAAGTTCTATGTTCCACAGGCCAGAATTTCAGGATGTGATACAGTGGGCATTGGAGGCCAAGTCCTGGGAAGGGGACAGGGCATGCATAATTCTTCATTTTCAGGAAGCTAACTTTTCCTATTTTACACCCGGACAAACAACGTGTAACCCTAGAAGTATATAGATTGATCTGGGGAGCTAAATGCATGGTGTTCAGCTGTATTCCAGGGCTTCTGTTGAGATGACCTGCAGACATCCAGGCACTGGGGTCTTCTAAGGTTTCCCAGGCAATCCCAAGGTGCAGTCAGTTGAGAGGCACTGTGCCGATGCTCTGAGGACAGAGCCACCTCTCCTGTTCATATTTCAGCCCACACAGAGCATGGCTGACTGGGGTCCTCTTCCGCATCCGCCCAAGGTGCACCACTGGGGGACCCAGCCTGCTACTCCTCAACTGTCATCACCTCCCAACACCTACATGCGCACACGCAAATGTACACACACCCATGTCTGCATTCTGTTATGCCTCAGTTATAGTGTCCTTTCACCTAGGAGTCATTGTCACTTGAAAAAATGTTAGAGCGTGAAAAGCAAGCTCATGCCAGAAGGAAAACAAACTGAATGTCCGAGTTGTCTGACTCTTGTGGAAGAAGGGAGGAAGGACAAGAGTCTCGAACTGCTTGTCTGTTTCCATGGAAAGCAGCTGAAAAATGCATCTGAAAATGTCCCGCTGGCCCCTTCTGTGGTAAAGAGGTGCCTCAGCTCACGAGCGCCATTATTGATGGCCATGGTCTCCCAGGTGCTGTATTGGAAAGGGCAGCCTAGCAGCAGAGTCCCAGGGAAGAGACAGCAAGAAGGAATGGAATTAATTGAGTTCAGTGTTATTTGATTCCAGCCCTGTAGCAACCCCTGGGTGAGTATTAGTCGCATTTACAGACAAGAACTTGTCCTTGAATAGGGCAACTAATCTGCCCCAACGCCCCAGCTGGGAGAACAAGAGCTACCTCCAACACTGAACTGGGGCTAGCCTAGCGGATTGGCCTTTGATGGTGTCAAGGAACAGGACAACAAAAATGTGTCTACAATTTGCCTAGCCTTCCTAGATAGTTCCTGGGGTGACCACTGCTGTCTCAGGTGTCTACTGAGGAGACACAGCTTCTTGTCATGGTAGCTGGGAAGAGGCTGCAGTTATGGGAGATACACACGATTTATCTCTCGGTATCTTCTGAGGGGTGATTAAGGACTCCCAGGGACATCAAATGCTCCTTTCTACGAGGACATTTTGTCTAAGTATAAACTACGCAGCTCCTGTCGGGGGATTTCAGACATTGCTTACCATACCTATCATAGCCAAAGTTTCATGCAAGTAGTTGTTTATATTGTTAGGAGAATGGTCACAAGGAAAAAGAATCTGTACCCATTCAAACAGGCGTA